TCTGCAGCAAGTGGAAAAAATACATGGTTAGTATTGTTCATGTAATGGGATGATGCCTTCTGCCTCAAACCCCACCACATTTATGATATCAGACACTCCTAAGCTAGCCATAACCATGTTTTTCTCCCCACCCTGCAGCAGCTTTAGCACCCCATTTGATCTCAGAAGTCAGTTCACTAATGACACTGCTCTATACCTGTGATGGATAACAACTAGCACCATGTTTAGCATGCTTTGCAGCGTCAGAAAACCAACCTCCAGGTAGGGGCAGAGAGAAGAGCCTGCCTGTTCAGCATTTCAACGAGCCCTTTGCCATCAGCCAAAACACTGCTGCTTTTTCAGATGAATTAACCTGTTCCACCTGTCAAGAACTGGCTGTATAAATGCTTCTCTGAGGTTTGAAATACACAATACAGTGGGAATTGATAAAAGGAGTTGGCAGCATGGAATTTAGTAAACCTTCCTGCAAGTGGTTTGCAATTAGAGACTGGGCTACATCAGAATGCTGTCAACAAGCACGCTAAGGGACATGAACCACTGCGTCAGCCGAGTCAGACCCTCGGCTGGAGTCACCTGTGTCCACAGGATCCTTCCTGCCAAGTTTCCAGTGGCAGTGGAATCAAAAGGCAACTTTAAGTGGAATCAAAAGCACTTTAAGAGACAGCCATGAGAGCTTCACCAGCTTGGACTGAACTGCATCAGTGCACTCCACAGGCACACCCTCACACCCATCCCTATGATCTCCCCCTGACCAGCAGTGCCTCTGCAAGACAGGCAAGCAGTTCTAGCTCTATGCAGCAGAGGGAAGCAGTAAGCACTGTTAACACTGACTAGCCACCCGACTGTCATGCACTAAAGGCTTAATTATGTTCTCAAACAAAATACAATGAACTCTGTCATAAGTAATCACACAAGAGACCGTGAAGTCAGTAGCTCAGTGGAAGTGGCCTCTGTGAAAGATGAAGCACAATTTTCTCTCGCTTTAGGGAAAACTTGCTGAGCCCTGGAAAGAAAGAAGTGGAATACAGGGCCTTTTTGCTTTGCTTATCAAGACCCGACTTCCTGTGGTGGTGTTTTACCAGGAAAACTTACTAAAAATAGAGAAATTCCCTCTAATCTCGAAGGCATCTTAAGGATTTACAAGTACATCTGCTTCAGTGAGTGAAAATACATCCCCATATCCAGGTGTTGGCAGATAAAGGAGGAAATATTTTACTTACATCATACCTGTAGTATTCAAAGTGTGCCCATTTTATGTTTTACTTGGGTGCAGCTTCCCCCTGCACAGGAACTAATCATCACTGCATAAAACTCACTTTTGATGTGGCTCCTATTCTCCCATAGTTGAGGCATTTGTCATTGCAAAAGAAATTTGCAGAACTGAATGCATTTCATCACGCACAATCCTTTCACTTTCATAGCAGGCAACAGAGCCTAGAGAGCTATTTCTTTACAAGTGATTACAACTCCCAAACAGGTAACAAAGACAATTACAACACTGAAAATTGTACTGCTATCGTGGACAAAAGAAAATGTAGCTCTGCTGCTGAATGCTTCAAGGTCAAACACTCCCTCAAAATTCATATCTAAGTTATCCAAGGTCATTACTGGTGTACGTTTTGTACTTGTCGGTATAATACATTAAAGGAAGGAGCACTAGGACACTAGTTCAGGCTGCAGGAAACCACTAACCTGGATGAAGCCTTCAGGGCAAGTCAATTCCCCCCTCCTGGTTACATCTCCCCTCTCATTTTTGAGGCTCTGTTACATATTCTTCACTTCTATCAAGCAAGGCTCTAACTTTTGGTTGGAGAATCTGACTGTGACTACTGTAAGTCCAGAGAATGGGATCATCAGATCATATCAATTCACATATGATTTTTTACTGCAAAAGACCTAACACACCAAAGCCCAACACATAATGAAGCACATCACTTTTAAAGTACAGTGCTTAACAGGGACTTTTCCCTTCAGCCTCCAGCCAGGGCACTTCATGCTTTGAGTCTTCTTTATGCCTCCATGCAGAAGCAGCTGAAGTAGACAATTCCTTGCTCATGCTATAAAGAAGATTTGTGAGGAAGGGAGGCAGAAGACGACAGACCAGGTAACAATAATTATTAAGTTATTAGAAGCACACATCATATGACAAAAATTTGAAAGTAAATTGCTTTGAAATACAGATTTTTACGTTCCCCAATGCTTAAGATGAAATAATATTAAATAACTGCTGTCTGAAGTTAAAACTAGAGGTTAAAGGAGAGTAATTACTGATTATTTAAAGGGTAATTGTAATGAACTAAGATAAAAAGAGATGTCACATTTCCAAGCCAGCTCCTATATTTTAAGCTGGGAATGTGACTCTAGGCAAGTACTACCAGGAGAATGCACTTCCATAGAAGAAAGCTGTGACTTGCAATAAACTTCCTACAGTAACAGAAAGTCTACAGTGTTTCAGGTCATAGCACTTTCTGCTCTCTGGATCAGAACACAAATGGGCTTTAACAGGAAGTCTGTGTTTCACATGTAATTTAACACACACACATGTACATATTCATACATCCAGGAGTTTCACAGAGTAAGACATAAACCTAATTCTTCCAGTGCTGTGTAATGAAAACTGCACTGCAAGTGACATGACCTTGATATGAAGAAAAATTAAACCCAATCAAATTACTGTGTATTACATTCTCTCACCAAGGCAGAACACCACATCAAGCTTTGAGAACATGATATTCAGCAGGGAAATAAGCCTAATAAATTCAGGAAAAGAACTACATTGAGTGGTTTTCTTTCTTTAACCTTTGATTTCAAAGCCAATAATCACAGGATATAAAGCACTTTCATTTAGCTTTTAACAGCTACAAAATACATACACAGGAGTAAAACAAAGCACAAAAAAGCACAGAGATTAAGAAGAAAAAAAATCCTTTTCATTCTATTCTATGTTTCTACAAGGCAACTCAATGATTCAAAAATACTAACTTCAGCCTTGCTGATTCAAAGTAACTGTTTTCCCTTAAGTCAGCTGATTTCTGGTGCCTTTTCATGCATTGTCATCTCTCCTTATTTAGGACATCTCATAAGTAGCCTTGACTGCATTAGGGTGGTAAGAGAATGAAATGCCAATTTAGAAGATGCTTAGTACTTGAAACCTTCAGGGTGCCAACCTGCTTAGAGGCAGATGCCTGCTTTGATGTGTTGCTGTGTCACAGTTGCACCTTCAAGGGCTGAAAACTTCCAGAAGGAGGAGATGAGCGCACCTAGTTAGCAGCTTGTCGAATTAGGTTTAACATCGAGTCCTGCTCAAGCACACTAATTTTCCCTTGCTCATCAGAATGATGGGATTACAATGAACCAACCTTTTATGGAGGGAATTGAGGCAAATTTTCCTCTTTCATCAGCCACCAACATAATCGCTATCTCAGTAAGCGCTGGACCACCAGACCAGTACAACACAGTCTCCCGTTTGATCTTTGATGGAGAGGATGAGACTGCTGTCAATACAAAACTGAACTGGAGAGCAGGAACAAGGACTGCAGAGCTCCTGAGACAGCCCATGGTTAGAGGAGGTGAGGCTCTTCATGTGTCAAATGCTTTGATAGCCAGCCTTTGCTGTAGATAAGGCAGGACTTGCTATCCCCTGCCCAATGCCTCTACAAGCAAGGATTAACTAGCACAAAGATAAGGAACCTTTGCCTGGCTGGGGGTTACTATTGATTTGTGAATTGTGAGATGTGAACTTTAAACAACCTGGAGCTTTGACTCCACATGGGGTGTGCAAGAGTGCGTTCAGAGAGCTGTGAAAAGCTTCTCATCTATCTAAGCACTCAACATCAGCACACATCTGATGGAAGGCACTGAAGAACTAGTCAAGTTATACATTTCCTTGTGCAGTATGTGCTGTATAGCACACAGGATACGTCTGTTTCCCTATTTGCTTTTTCAGAGCCAGGCAAATTTCTGATTCCTTGCTAATTTCTGAATTTCCAAGTTGATGAACTGTGAGTAGAAGATACTGCCTGTGTTTTCCAAACCAGCCCACTGCCTTAGAAATGCTGCTTACAATGCTCATTTCTTTAGTGATACCATGCAGACTCCAATTAAATCGCCTATTATGCAGGCCAAACAGAAGATACTGTACCCCCACTGAGAAACAACCATAATCTTGCAGAGAGCTCCAATAATCTTGTATTCCACACCAAAAGACCCAAGATTCCATCACTAATGACTGAAAAGAAAGGTGTAAACCCTGCTATCTCAGTTTTAGCCCATTTAGACATCCACCAGCATAGTCTATAGTTACCATATGCCTCCACAGACAGCTTACCTTAGGACTTTCAAGAGCAGCAACTCCAGCCAACAGATGATTAATATGTCAGCAAAATAGTTCTCTACCTTCTCTCTCATAGCAGATGAAAGACATTTATTACCCTGTCCCTTTCCAGTCTGATGTTACAGAGATGCCAGACTGGAGAATCTAACCTCAGCTGTCCCATATTGTCATTTTAATTAAAGCCATATCCTGTAAAACACTATATGCTCCTGAAGCCCTGATAAGATCCCATTATCAGAAAGGAGCAAATTTGTGATGCTATCTGGGCCAGCCCATGATTATCTGCCAGAACAAAAGGAATGTTATTAAACAAACCCGGTTAGATCACTGTCAGTGAATAGAATGAAAACCACGCTCCAGTGAAATCCCTTATCCCTCTGGGGTCACACCTGCAGCATGTAGTCACTGCTCTGTGCTGAAAGCTAAAGCTGAGAAAGAGAAGGAATTGCTGGTTTCTGTTTCACCGTGGAAAGTTTTGTTCCTTTCCTGCAATTCGTTAGAAGGAGCAACACCAACTTTAATATCAATTAACTCCTGGGAGATGACAGGTTCTTAACTACATTTTCAAAAGCCTCATTAAAACCCCAAAGTGACTGTATCTGTTATTCTAAATACAGCCGTTACTTTATAGGACACAAGGAAGAAAGGGTTACAACGTCTCTCTTACCTTTCAGCTTTAATGATCTCCTGTGGAACAAAAGCAGTGGGAGGGAATTAACCACACTGCCTTTCTGTACCATTCTTTCACTTCTCTGACTCAGGCAAATAACGTGTCAGCCCCTTGAGGAGGATCCTGGTCTTTGTGCAGCCAGAGCAAACACTCAGCAGCTCCAGGGGAGGCAGAGGGCTGTGTCACAGCCCTGCATTCCCTCCGGTTTCTTGGTGTTAGAGACACCAAAACCAACCTCTTGTTTTCCAGTCCACACATGCACAGGCCGTATTTCTGTTATTCCAAGCAAGCACACAGCTAACGCTGGTGTGTGTGTCCCATTCCAAAAAGCCTCATTTAGCTCCTCTGACTTCACAGCTACTAATAGACAAGTTCTGAATCAGAAAACCCCCAAAGTACAGCCTGTCTTTCCTTCGGATTTTTAATCACTCTGCTTGTTATTACATGAGTAGCAAGAACAGCTCTACCACACTATGCAGCTAATAAACCATCCTCCTCTACCGAGGAACCTAAACAAAGAGCCTAAACTACTTTGGGAATGGTGTTATCTGGGGTCTGCACAGATGATCACAAGCAGCTGAAGCTTCATTAGTTACCATTCATCATCTGAGCTGCATTAACTCCATGCTCTCCCCCCGCCCCAGGATGCAGCATTCCAGCACCATCAGGTGGCTCAATGCAAACAGCTGCCTCCTCTTCACTAGTGCAGAGGGTGCAAGAGCACTTGTGGACCCTTCACACAGCTCAGCTGGAGACCAGCAGCTCCTGTGTTGTGGGATGACAGCGTATCCTACCTCTGCCATCCCAAAATAAACACCACCCTCTCCTGGCAATGCAGCCCTTCCTAATCCACATAGGGAACTACAGGACTAGCAACAGCAGATCAATGAGTAATAAAAGGCTACTAAGAGGAATGACTTCAGATCCCAAATAAGTTTCAAACCAAAGTTGTAAAACAGAATACATTGTCCTGGTCAAACAGCAGATTCACGCATTTAGCTTCTCTAAAATGTATTGTTTTATCTCAAAATAAATCATGAAAGCAAAGTCAGTAAAGGCAGTTGGCTGCTGATAAAAATGGTATCTGCAATGAACTAAAGGACGCAAGCTGGTGTATTATATAAATTCATGACCAGTTAATAAACTGGTCTTTAAAAAGAGTTTTATCTTCCTCATCCATATGTATTTCGATAGGATAACAAATACAGATACAATTTTAAAGGGTTGCTCTTTCTATTTGATGTGTTTTCATGTCTCATTCTAATTGCAGCAAAAGCCTTTAGTCGAGCAGGGTCTTCCATGACTGACTTCCCACTGATTTGTACTGCAGCAGCTCCACTTACTGAGGGACAGGAGGGAGATTTACAAAGATGCCTTCAGTGCCAGGACCAAGGTCTTGAGTGCCTCAGAACTGAGGTCCAAGGGGTTTCTTTATAGAATAGGTAGTGTTAGAAAGGACCTTAAGATCATCTCGTTCCAACTCCATGGAGCCTGGCTTTGACATCAACTGCACATGAGTGAAAAGGGGAATCCTCGCTTCTGTGCCTTCCGGATCAGTGCTGGATCTCCTGCTCAGCCCATGGTGTTTTCCTGATGCTTTTTGAAGCTTGTGGAAATAGGAAACAGCTTCAAACTAACAAACCCTGAAAGAACTGCTGCTGTCTTGCAGTCAACCTTGCCAATCCCTATGGCTGGGACAGCATGAGGTCCGTTCTGAACCTGCTCAGTTTGGACTGTGGGAAGTATTCCAAAGAAGTTTTCTTGAGTGCCTGACAGAAGAACATTAGCATTTGCCTCCTGGAGGTTCCATGATGAATGGGAAAGGCTGCTTTTGAATCTAATCCAGGAATATTTGTACACAGTAGTTGTTGGTAGCATTTGTTCTCTAGGCCGTACCTAGGAAGCAAAGATCTATTACAATGGCCCAATTCTGGCTGCAGAGATGTGGTCATTACTAAAATAAGCTTGCAAGGTGCTGTAGAAGCCTTGCAGTTCTATTTTACTTAAATTGTTTGCCATTCTTCCTGAAATTGATTTTGATCTAAATAGATATTTTGTTCAGAGAGTCTTGGCTCTGGTATCTCTTCATTCACTGAAATATGATGCTATTTGACCAATTTAACCTTTACTTCTACGTGATCCAAACAGCCCATGCTTTCCAGTATCTGTCTTCCAGCCATAAACATTATCGTTACACTTGTGTATTTTCCCTACGACGTTTGACTTCAAGTCCCATACGCGCACCTCTAGTTTGCCCATTTGGCATCCTAGTTCTGTCACTAGTACTTCACATTTTGTGCTTAGTGATCGGGTAGGGAAAGTTGGGGGAAAAAAAGAAGATGGAAACAAAAATATCTTAAGATTAACTTGCAGCACTTGTATTTTGCAGACACTCTCAGTTTCCAAACCATCTCTAAGTATGTGTAATGCAATTTGCAAGCCAGGGCACCCGAGTTCACAGCCAGCCAGAAGGTGCATACATGCCTGGAAAGAACCTCCTTGTTGACTGTGGCCATTATGAGCTGCAGCAGAGAAAAGGGTGAATGTTCCTGGTTCCATTCCAACTTTATGTGTTAATTGTTGGCTCCAGTGGTTTCTTACATTAATGCTTTATTTCTTTTGCCTTTGCTCCTATATTTGTACTGTACAGAACACCTAAACAAGCCAAAGAAAATGTACTTCGGAATTTTCTCATAGGCTGCCCCTAAATAATAATTCATTTTAGTGAACACAAATATTGAAATGGAATTTCCACTAGAGAAACACTTCTACATTTCAACCAGCTCTAACCACATGCTCTTTGTCAAAATCTTCAACAAAAGCTTAATATCTACGCAAGCATCAAGCATTTCTGCATATTAAACTTCAACTGCTAGGGAAAGGTGGGCATTCTGCTTGTGCTTGGCTCTGAATACACAAGTCACCGTGGATCTAGAAGTTTATACAAAATACACAGCTTCCTCAAGCAAAGGAAAAGGGAAACCCAGCTGAACTGCACCTCACACAGGATCATCAGCCAGGATATTCAGAATAATATCTCCTCTTCCAAGCAGTACCAGGGGACCCCAGCAACTTGCACCATCTGCTTTTGCAGTTGCAGTTGGCATGTGTGCACCTGGCTCTGAAAGCCCAGACAGACAAGGATTTACATGTATATCAGTAACACCACCTACAGAGAAGTTAACAGAGAGAAAAACCAGCATGATGCTTCCTTCCTCTACCTCTTTAACTGACTGCCTCCAGGAGAGATTGGTGTGCAGGCAGTTACTTGTTCCAGGCAGGATCTCATCCTGTTGCAAGAACTGATGCTCTCATTGGATAGCTCATCCATGAAGCTGACATTTCCGAACCGTGGAACATTGTGTCACTAGCACAAGGCAGCAGTAAAACAAGCAGCTCAGCAACAACAACAATCTGCCAGCTCTGTCTGCTCTCAAAAGATCAAGGCTCTATCCCTTCCTCCTCTGTTGAAGCTCACAAAGCTTCTCTTCGGCTCCTAGCACGGATTTCCCCAGTGAGATGCAGCTGGATGGAGCACATGGGAGGTACCAGCAGCATGCAAGGGCCAGCAGCAGCGCAGCTAACTCAAACCCACTTACCAATTCCACTATTAGAAATAAATCAATCAAGCATAAGCTGCTCCAATTCATTACTGTTTATTCATCCTCTGAGTGCACTACACACAGCTGGTAAATGGCCAATAAATCCTCCCCACCTCAGCGAGCAGGACTGCCTTGGCAACTTTTTTGGCAACACCTCATGTCAAGCTGGTTTTGCACAGAGGAACAGAGGAGCTGCTGCTTTGGGCTCAGCTCATGACACAATTGCTCACCATACAATTCATGCCATTTCCTTGTTGCAGGAAAGGTGTGTACCAGCATCCCGGGGAGCTGCTATGGAGTAACTCGGGAAGAAGGAAAACTTGCTGTTGCTTTGACAGTTGTTTATGCCAAGAAATGTGGAGGCCCACAGGCCTTCTAATAGGATTTTATGTGATTTAAGTACTGTAGTTTAAATACAATGCCTTTAATATTAAGTATGAGGATCATTTTAATGAGCATATCCAACATGTTCAGTATGAGAGTGGTTATTGACACAAAGCATTATCTGAATGCTATTTTAAGGATGTATTTTGGCACTTGAAGTCCAGCTGTCATCCAGCTGTATGCTTCAGAAAAGTCTTTTCCACTTTTAATCTCCATTTGTGGTCTTTACAGGCCCTGTCCTGGAGGATGCCAAGCTGAAGAGCCAATGTCCGTATGTGAAGTCAGTCAACACTGATAAGGGGTGAAGAAAGGATCAAATCAAATTCCAGCATTACTTGTCTTCTACTTATCCACCACCAGGCAACATCAGGCGTCAACTTACACACTGCAGAATGAGGGTGAAACTTTCCCATTATTTCTCATAAAGCTCAGATGCAATTTAGTGTCAAAAACTACCCTTTTAAATATAGCTTCTGAATTCTTTTAAATATAAAACTCCTCAAACTATCTCTGAGAAGGCTCTTCAGGAAGCTAAGAACTTGATGTAAGGAAGGCAAAGCACATCAAGGGCTCAAGTCATGACTAAAAGACAACTATGGAGTAGAAATAGATGGTAAGGAGTAGAAATAAGAGGTCAATTTTCATCATGAGCAAGTATTAGGAGTTAAACACCATGCCTGGAGAAGAGAAAGCTGAGTGGTGACCTCATAGCAGCCTTCCAACATCTGAAGTGGGCTGGATGAGGATGCTGGAGGGACTCTTCATCAGGGACTGGAGCGAAAGGACAAGAGGTGATGGGTTCAAACTGAAACAGGGGAAGGTGAGGTTAGATATAAGGCAGAAGTTCTTTACTGTGTGGGTGGTGAGGCGCTGGCACAGGGTGCCCAGAGAAGTGGTAAATGCTCAATCCCTGGCAGTGTTCAAGGCCAGGTTGGACAGAACCTTGGCGACATGGTCTAGCATAAGGCATCTCTGTCCATGGAAGGGGGTTCAAACTAGATGATCTTAAGGTCCTTTCTAACCCAAACCATTCTATGATTGTGTAAGTGCACATTTTGCTTAATGCATTTATAAATGAGTGTTTTGGCACTTACTCAGAAGAGATGCTGCACATCCGTCATTGGAGGCTTCGAATCCAGTTCTTACCATGCTTTTTGTTTATTTAGTCTTAGACATGGGCTGGTTTTTAATTGCCTTTGGCCTGTCAAGATTTAATGAACTTTAGAAGCTCACCACAGCACCAAGCCTGGAACTTACCAAAACAACTGACACAGCTGCTAACAAAGGAGCTGCATAAACAAAGTCTAATTACGTCTAAAAACGCCAAGCCCATAATATGGAGAAGAAGAGCAGAGAGACCGATTAACAATGCAAAACAATATCAATAGCCAAGATTCAGAAAAGAGGGGTGAGAGAAACCTGGACGCTTGCACTTGGTGCTATTACCTCTGTGATGGAGAGTTGAGAAGCAGGAACAGATGTTCTGAAAAACTATCAATTTTATCCACTAATTTAAATGAAACCCTCTCTGGAGAGAAATTCACCAACTCACTCGGGCTCCCGGCACCAGTTGGCTATTTAGTGAAGGA